CTTTGGAACTTCTTGACTCAACTTCTTTCTTGTAGTATTTCATCTTCTAGGACCTCTTCTGGTCACTTAGGTGTCTCACAACATGGGGGTCTCAGAATAGTTACACTTTTTACGTAACTACTGGTTTCTAAGAGAAAGCTTTGCATGAATTTGTGATATGAGAGGCTGGTCTGTAGCTCAGTGGCAGAGCACTTACCTAGCATGTGTGAGGCAGTGGGATTGATTCTTAGTACCACATTAAAAAATAATAAGTGAATAAAATAAGGCATTCTGTCCATCTACAACTACAAAAAAAAAAAAAAGAATTTGTGATATGAGTGGGAGCATTCAAGAGGCAATTCTGGCCAGCTAGTACTTTTGCCATAATCTACTTATCAAAGCAGTGGGTAGAGAAGTACAGTCTGACTACTGTGGTGGTAAGATCACAGTGCAGAGGAGCCTATGGATGGGCTGTATGGTTTTAAGCATCTGGTAAACATCTTTGGAAATGTGGCAGTCTGCCTTAGAGATACAATTTCTTTTTTCTCAATGGATACCAGGGGGCTCAGCACCATTTAGTGAAAAGTCCATGCTTTCCTACTGACCTGAAGGGTCTACCCTGTCATAAACCATGATTCTAAATAGGAGTGTGTGTTTATTTTGGATTGTTTTTGTTTAGGCCTATGGTTTTCAACTTGGGGCTCTTCTGCAGGGACATTAGGCATCATTAGAGAAAATTCCTGTTGTCACAACAGGTATCTCAGCATGCTACTAGCCTTTGGTGATAGATAGAGGTCAGGGATGCTGCTAAATATTCCACAACGCACAGGGCAGCCCCACAACAAAGAACTGTGTGGTCTAAAATGTCAGTGATGTTACAATTGAGAAACCATGGTCTGTGTCATCAGTTATGCCTTACCATGTGATCTTCATTAGCTTTAGAATCTGGTAGGGTAAGTCACCTCACATTGCTTTCCTTCTTTGAGAATGTATTGGTGATTTTTGGTTCTTTGCATTTCCATATAAGTTTTAGAATCTGTTAATCATGTTTCATTAAAAACTCTTTGTATTTCAATGGAATTTTATTGTAAATTGTAGATCTTTATGGTGGAAACTGACATTTTGTGATATTGAATCTTCTTATTCACCAACATGATATATATCTGTTGATTAATTTCTTTAATGTCTTTTAATAAAATTCTATAATTTCCTTTATTTATAAAGGGCTTGCAAATATTTTGTGCAAGATGAGTGGCTCTCTTGGCCAGCTGTGAGGCTT